GGCAGTTCCAGAGATGATGGGCAACTCAAAATGTCATCAGTGATCCAGTTAACAAGATGGCTACCACAGCTCTGGACATTAGGTCCCCCCCCCCACCAAATTCTTACCTGAGGATATGTTTACTGAGTTGAAAGAGAGATGAAGAGAAACAGAGAGAAATACCGATATGAGAGAGAAACATCAATCGGTTGCCTCCCATACACACCCTAACCGGGGATCTAACCTGCAACCGAGGTATGTGCCCTGATCAGGGAAGGAACCCAGAACCTTTTGTTGCATGGGGTGGCCCTCCAACCTACTGAGCCACTAGGCCAGGGCTAGGCATTAGGTCTTCACACTACTTTTAAAGAGAAAAAGGGAAGCAGAGAAAACACACCTTTCCTGTCCATCAGGAAAGAACTATTTTCCAGATTTTCTCCTCTGCCTATAGGTGGGAAGTGGATCCCATGGCCATGTCTGACTAACTTTGAGAGAGGCTGAAAAGTATCCAGTGAAGGTGTTTAAAATCCCCATGATTGGCTTAGGCCAGTCACCATTTATGTGTATTCAGCCTTTTTGTTCCTACCTTTTTAGTGCTTTTTTTGATCCTTCACTTTCACAGTGGCCAACACCAAAAAAAGGAGAAAGGACTGTTGGGCAAGGAGCTCATGTGATACGGTATGTCATGTGATGGATGCTCTGTGCTCTGATATGTAAGAAAGAACAATAAAGTTACCTGAGTGGGCTGGTCAAGTACTGGGCTTGGTCTATGCTTGGTTTTTTTAGTCTTGGCCACTAGAAGAGTGAATGAGATAACAAAGACACCAAGATTGTAGGAATACAAAAGCTGATTAAGATCCTCCATCAGCTAAACTCACTACAAATACCATTAGGAGGCTCAGCTGGGCCAAAAATTAGGAGGTAATGGAAGCTGTAGTTCCAAGTCAGGCAGAGAACAATCTCTGATAGCATCTTCGCTGAAGACAGCTCCCCTTATCTCTTAAGACTAGGAATCAGCCAATTTCCCCAGTTAGAAAGGCCCACTTACTCGGGCAAAAGTCAGGATGTGTGCGCAATGATACGGGCAATCAAGAAAAACTTAAATACCATCTGTGTGGGTGTGTATGTGCATATACTTCAGCAACATGTTATATGCATTGAAACAAGTCTGATCAACAGCTACGCACCAAATAAATAATCTGCTCTAGAATACAGTTTTTAGGTCTCCGAGTCTCCCCTGTCCTCTCCGTATGACGCCCTCTTATAAACTGGAGAGGAGAGCCAAGAAGCTGCTGAGGTTGTAGCATGCTGGTGTTTGCCTCAGAAAACAACCGTATGGGACATCAGTTTGCCTTTGCCAGCCCTAACTTCTCTGCACTGTTTCCCTCGGTACCGACTAGAGCCTAGCACCCAGTGTGTGAAATTAAAAGGTAATGTCAAAGGTGGGGAGAATCGATGGTGGGAGGTGGGGATGGGTAGGGCGGGGGGGGGGGCATAGTGAGGGGAAAATGGAGACAACTGTACTTGAACAACAATAAAAAGGTAATGTCAATGGGAAAGTAATTACTAAATAATACTAACTTAAAATTAGGATGCAAAATGACCTCAGGTATACCCAAATATATATTAAGGGAATAATTATTTTAAATTAGAACCTTAAAATAGTTATCTCCAGGTGATGATAACTGGATGATTTTTCTTTATACATTTCTGTATGTCTCGTTTCCCAACAATAAAATAAATATTGCTTTCATAATTAGGTAAATATTCTTTTTTTCTCCTCTTTTTAAAGTCAGCATCACAGAGGAAGATGCAGTCACACCAGCTTGTACTGTTTACCATCTTGAGAAGGAGCAAACCTTTCAAATGTTGCTTTCTTTTCATCAAGGAGTGCATTTCTCCCTGGTGAAAGGATAATCAGTGGATCAAGACGACAAGTTCTGTGATGTCTTCTCAGGGAAGAGGCTGCCAGGGGTGCTTGGGGCCTTTCCTTCCGGGCTGCCTGCTGTACCTGGCTCTCCTGGGAATTTAGCAGATTAACCTTGGTGCCCCACTGAGATTTTGTTACTTTTAGCTTTGGTGACTTCTAAACTATAGGCAAACAAGACACGCTGGTGGGCGACGGAATCTACCCCACCCCACCCACCCAAGGAAAACAGCCCTTCATTAGGAAGAGGACTACCTACACCTGCAGAATGAATTATACGGTGCCTTAGGTAGAAAGTATTTGAAGAAGAATGAAATCAAGCTACAAAGCCTCAGAGACTCCAGGCTGCCTGGCTTCAGCAGCAGCCAGAGCAGCAGGTTTTCCCTCATTGTCTGCTTTCGCTCTCCCCCATCATTCACTAGACACGAGCCAAGATGGCTTCTTATTCCTCAGACACAGCCACTTCTCCCCTGCCCCCAAATCCGCACACGGCACACTCCCTCACTCCACTGAAGTTGCTGCTCACATGTCAACTTCTTCCGAGGGACCTCAGAATTCAGTCGGAACTGCCACTAAAACCCCCACCGCAGCCACTGTCTAGCCTTTCACACGGCACAGTGTCAGGGCAGGTGTTCACTAATAGCTGGTTTCCTCGCTGCCTTCTGGCTGAATGATAAAACCCAGCATGTTTCAAGGTTCCAAATAACCCCAGGTAACTCTTTGAAGTTGGAATCTAATAAGGGCTCACAGAATCGGCCAGATACTTGGATTCTGTATTAGTTGGCCAGGGCTGCCATAACCAAGTACCACTGACTGTGGCTTAAACAACAGAAATGTATTTTCTGGTGCTCTGGAGGCTAGAAATCCAAGATCAAGGAGTCAGCGGGGTTGGTTTCTTCTGAATAGTCTCTTCTCAGCTTGCAGATGGCTGCCTTCTGGCTGTGGTTTCACATGGTTTTCCCTCTGTGTGTCCCAATCCACTCTTTTTATAAGGACACTAGTGATTTAATTAGGACTCGCCATAATGACTTCACTTTAACTTAATTACCTCTTTTGCAGTCACATTCTGAGGTACTGGAGATAAGCACTGTTCATATACATTTGGCAGGGGTGGGGTGGGGAGAGGACAGGGTGTCGGGATGGGTATAGTTCAGCCCATAACAGATGCCATCCCTTCAGTTCTGTGATTGGATTGAGTCCCCTCCCTGCGTTGGGCATCACTTTTCTCCTAGCTTAAGCTGAAGTTCACGGCTCTTGCTCCCAATGCTGATGATAAATACAGGGTCCAGTACAAATAGAGACTTTTTTTTAAATTACAAAATCTTTTATTACAAAATTGTAAGCATGTAATTCTGTAGAATAACAATATCACACTCAAACACACCATATGACATTTTAGGTGAAATGTTCAAATTAAAACTATAAATTATTACACTCATATTATTACCTTGCCCACCACACTCAAGTAGGCCTTACTTCTGCCAGACCCTGTAGTTTGCTTGCTGGCTTTTCTGTGAAAATCCCCTTGAGTTCTAATACAACCAAAACTGAAGGCATGAACAATGGCAGAAATCGAAGGCCGAGTGTCCTTAAATTTACTGCTTTTCAACCCCGCATGCATGTAGTAGAGAGGGGAAAATAAGAGACTCTGTGTAGTATTCAGGGCAGAAAGTCCGTCGTAGAAATTACAGTGGGAGAGAAGCAGCGTTGGGAGGAGAAAGACGACATCTGGGAATTACTCTATACCAGAAACTGTAATCTCACAGAATCCTCTCAACTCCCTGCGGTGGGCATTATTATTACTTGCATTTTATGGGTGAGGACATAGAGGCTCAGAATGTAGAGTGGGCTTATTTATGTTATTTCAGTCCAGCCAGAACTGAGAACCCACACAAGTCTGCCTTTAGTGTGAACAAATTCATTAGCAAGGCACTTACTTGGCCCTAAGGAGATACTGATACTTCTTAAGTATTATTTGTTCAGACCCTCATGCTTGGCTTTAGGCAGCAGACAGAGGCCTGAGAGACACAACTTCCCACTCATACTGTCCCAGAATCTGCATGGGTGTCTCTCGAAAAGACCAGCCACCGTGATCATTTTAGCTGTCTAATGCCATCGATAAACTAGGGATGTGAAACCCCATTCTTAGGAGAGGCCTGCCCACCCCTCATGCCTCCAGAACCAACCCTGACAAATATAGCAGAAATTACAGGCATCTGATTTAAGGCTACATGTGTACACTTCGCCTGAGCCAAGCCCCAAACCCTAGCTCTGCTGCTGCATCAAAGCACCATCTCTCTTCCAGGCTCCAGGCCCAGAGAAAGCAGCAATTTGGGAGGCAGCCCCCTCTTATTTTTAGCCTTAAAAACCCCAAACCAAAACATACCAGCGCTCACCCAAGCGTTTCTTACAAGCTGTTGTTTGATTTGGGTTGAGAAAATGACAGACTGAGTTCTGCACCAAGAACCGAAGGGAAAAAGCGGGGAGAAAAAGGAGTTTTATTCTCCCTCCACTGCCAACCTCCATCCCCCTCAACTCCTCCCCTAGGCCTGGGTGGACCCTGCCTGGGTAATCGTCCCCTGCTATATTTAAAAACCACAGATGTGTTTGGTGGAGACTCAATTTCGGAACTGCAGACAGGCGTCTCCTAAGGACGAGGGGAAAGCCGGTGCCGCGCGCCTGCCCGCCCGCCCTCCCCGCCTGCTGCCCAGAGCTCCGTTCTCCGCGGAATCCAGGTCAGGACGCGCCGCCGTCTTGGAAGTGCAGGAGGTCGGGAGGCTCCAGGCGCCAGGTTCCAACGGATGGGTGGGTGGCCGGGGTATAGGGGCCCCGCCTGCATTCGGTCCTTGGGGCTCTCTGGACTCAAAGAGGTGGAGGCTCGACTTCCTCGCGGCTGGTCGGGAAGCTCTCTGAAAATTTCCCCCCACCGGCGGGCGAGGATAAATACGCGCGGCTTGTCATTCCGTGCAGCTCTCTCTCTCAGCTGATAGGGTGACGTTCGGTTTGGAGGCTTGGAGATTGGCTTTTTGATTTGGCTTCTTGCTGCAGCTTAGTGGGCAAAGCTCTCGGCTCGCCCAGAAACCAGCCCCTCCGCGCGTTCCCTCCGCGCGCGGCGAGGCCGAGACGTCGCCCGCGGTGACGGCGTGTGAGGCGGGGAGCCGGCGCTCTCCCAGCCCCGGGAAAGCCCCGGCAACGCGACGGCTGGGGTCCCTCGGAGCCGCCTGGACGCGCCGCGCTGCTCGCCTTCCTGCCCCTCCCGGCAGGGATCCCCCCGCTGCCGGTGGTCGGGACTCCGGGCCTCTCCCGGGCTCCGTCCCGAGCCCGCGCCCCAGGTCGGGCATTTCTGGGGGTCTTCGGGCGGCTTTTCCTTGCTCCGAAAATTGGCGCCTAAGGACCCCTTCCTACGCCCCGCGCCCCGGCCCCGGCCTTCGCGCTCCAGATGCGCTGCCCTGCAGCTCCCTGAAAGCTGCGAGCCCACGAGCCCGGCCGGCGGGCGGCGGCGGCGGACTGACATGCCCCGGACGCGGCTGCGGCCGGCGGGCAGCCCGCGGGGGCGATGAGCCTCGGCGGCCGATGAGGAGCTGGGCGGCAGGGGCGACGCACATCTTCCTCACCCCTTCATTTGCCCACTCCTCTCGGGAGACCCAGAGGAAACGGTGAGTAATGGGGGAGAACCTCTTGCCCTTCCCCCTTAGCGGGAGGCCAAAGCAGGGGAGGTCGAGGTTGGGGCGTTTGGGGGTGTCCCCAAGAGGGTTCCTGCTTGCGAATAATGGTGTTAATTAAGTTATTTCTCAAGATCATTCCTATGAACCGCCTTCCTGAGGGCTTAGCGCCCGCAGAGATGGGGGGAGGGTGCTCGGGAAAGTGTACGTTGTGTCTGCGGTGTCGGGTTGGGGGGGCGTTCCGGCGGAGCGAGTGTCTGGCAGGGCGGTGGAGGGGCGCAGAAGGAGATGCCGGGGCATGTGTGTGCGGTCGGTCCGCGGCCGGTGCGCACTGGGGAGGCGGACTGCTGTGTTGCGTGCCGGATGCATGCGTGTGCCGGCTGTGCCAGGGCGCGTTGCGCTCTTGGGGCTGAGTGCCCAGCGGGTGTGAGGGCCAGGAGGGGGGCGCGTTAATTCACGCGGCGCGTGCACGCGCGCACACAGGCACGCGCGCACCCCAGCGTCCGGACTCCGACACAGTGGGTCTGGAGCTGCAACCCCGGCGCCCCCGCCCGCGGCGGCCAAGGGGCGGGGAGAAGGAGGGTTTCTCGCGTTCTCTGCTCTCCAGACAGCGGTGGTCTGGGCGGTCCCGGGCCAGGTGGAGAGAAGCGAAGTGTGTAACTACCCCCCATCCCCGTCCCCTCCAACACCACACACACGCCCTCATTGAGAGGCTCGAGCTCCCGCAGACCCCGCCTGACCTGCCTTGAGTACCTGAGCCACTGGAGAAGATAAAGAAAGCCATTTGATCCAGGGGGGAAAAAGAAGCTTTTCATCTTTATTCACTGTGCTTTATATTTTTAACTGTGGAGGAGAGGGTGTATGTGGTTAAATAGAACAAACGCCTTTAATGCAGTGCCATAAATTTACCCGTTCGCTGCCCGCCCGCCAACCCCCCCCCGTCCCCAGCCCCCCCCCCCCCCCCCCAGCCGCGGTTTCTCTCCATTCTGGCAATTAAACAACAAACCCAGAACGTTTAGTGAGTGGTTCTGTCTCCTGGGCAGAATGATTGAAATTGGTAACAGTTTTTCAGGAACGCAGGCCGCACCTGGGAGCAAGGCGTGGAGATCCTGGGTGGTCAAGAAACACCCCAAGAGGAGGGAGTTGTGGGAGGGTTACAGGGACACATCGGGCCTTCTGCTAGGGCACCAAAAGGGAAACCCCGCGCCTCGGGCCTCTGGCGACCTGGTGACTTGCAGCCGCTTGTGATGAATCTTCCACAGCTGTCGTGCCCCATCCACTGGAGCTGAGCTCTTGTTTACCTCGATTTTCAAATATAGCAGCTGCGCCACGCTCTTACTGAACTAGGGGGATCAGTTCACTCGGTAAGGGCACTTGGCCTCTCGCTGGCCCTTCTGCCTGCTGCACCGGATCCAAGTTGGAGATGAACTTGCCCCTTCATGCCTCGCAGTTCTTCAAATGAGGATGATTGATGATTAGAGCTTGGTGACTGGATGTGGCACTGATCACCCAGCCCCTCACTGCAATCTACATTTCTCATGGGCAGTCCCCACAAAAAAGTCCACTCAATAGCCTTGTTTCTGTAGAAATAGAATATAGATATTGGGTTGAGAAGAAGCAGAGGGAACCTACAGAACTGAACTTGGTTGAAGTGGTTCTTGAATTGAATGAAGGTGAGAAGGCTGTTTGTGCAGTTTCCTTCACCTGGAGCACTTTATTGTTCTCCCGACAGTCCGGAACTCCCACCTCATCTGTGTCTAATGTACTCCTCCAATTCCCCCTTCAGTTCTTACCCCATTGGTTACTTCCTCAAGGAAGCCTTCCCTACCTTCTCTGACTAGGCCAGCCCCCTTATTTTATATACCCATAAACTGAATCTGTTATTTTGAAAAAATTTAAAGATGCAGGTTACATTTATAAACATGATTGAATAATGCCGGTTACACTTCTAGATAGTGAGCGGCATGAAGGGAAGGAAGATGGCTGGTGAATCGATTTACCTTGTAGCCCCAGGGCCTAGCACTGTGCCTAGCACAGAACAGGCACTCACTAAATGTTTTATTAAATAAATGGACTCAAAGGGATGAGTTACAGCTCCTCTCTGCTCATGCTCCTCTGAGCTCCACTTTGGCATCCTTCGTACTGCCCTCCACAGCCTCCTGGTCAGAGAAGGGAGAAATCAGACTGACCCTGTGAAAACATGTGCTTCTGCTAGGCTCCTCCCCGGGCTGGGATCCTGAAGCTGAGGCAGTGTTCTCTTGCCCTAGCCCTGCCCTGTCCTTGTGCAAGGTGGTCCCTTGTACTGTCTCTGGGCATAACTGCTGGTATTGTTCATGGATAATCACTGTGGGCATTGTTCCCCGGTCTGAATTGCCCCCGATCTGGATTTGGGGGAACGTGTCACACATTTTGGCTTCTCTTCAAGCCACCAAGGTCAGATAGGAAGAGGATAACTCCCTTCTCACTCAAGCCTGGTTGCTTTGCCTAGAGGTTCAAATATTGGGTGAGGTTCAGAAATGTGTTGGACTCCAAAAGAAAAAGCGTTCATTTATTTATTCAATCAGCTGTTTATTTCATAAATATTCAACAACAACTTACTCTGCCAGGCATTTGCAAGGTACAGAGGCAACTAAAATAGAATGGTTCCTTTCCTCATAAAAACACATTCATTCCAGCAGGATGACCAGCTAGTGAACAGGCAATTACCATACATACAGAGTGATTCTTTTCACTGGAGGGTAAATCCTGGGTGCAGCGGAAGCATATAGGAAGGTCACTTCTCTACAGTGACTTAAGGAGGACTTCTAGGGACAGCTAACCTCAGAAAGAAAGGATGGGTGGAATTTAGCTTTGGTGAAAGCAGGGAAAGAGTGGGGGTGGGGGAGAAAGTGTTATGAGTGAAGAGGTCAGTATGCAAAGACCTAAAATGAATAAGAGCTCTTCTAAATGACTGCAGACAGAGGCTAAAGTTTGGGGAGATGAGTTTAGAGAAGCTCTAGGGGCCAAACCTTGAAGAGCTTGTACTCCATGCTAAGGATTTCCACTGAATTCCCTGAGGGAGATTAGGAAGGTTTTCACTACTGATGTACAGGGGCAGATCTGCATTTTAGACATTTAGTGTGTGGATAGAGACTGGGATGTAGGTAGAGAGAGGGAGGCAGGGTGTTAGTGGGCTGCAGTAGCAACCATGGCGTATGGTGGTCCTGATGGTCTGTGAAGGAAGGTAGGATGTTCCTCTTTCTGTTTTCGCATGATAATCAGAGCTGGCCTTCTAGGAAGAAATTCTACAATTTTTTTTTTCTGATGAGATGGGTTTATATTTGGTTTGTTTTGAATGGGCATTTTAAACTCAGCACTGGGTAGTGCACCTTAGGGGAAAGAAAAAGTTGCCCCTGTGGGTATAAAACATACTTCCTGGCCTACTGAGCTTCAGAGCAAGGAAAGCCCCCAAAATATGACATTTCTCAGGGCTGGGGAAAATCCAAGAAAGGAGTCTGGAAGGGTAAGAAGTATTTAAATCCACATATAGATCCATAGAAACTACTGCACAAGACATTGAGATAGCAAGAATCACATATGTATGTATATGTATATGTTTTCATAATATGAAGAGTGAATAAAGGCTAATTCCAGAACCAAGGGTATTCAGCTATGGTGTACAGAGTCAAGCCTACTAAGAAAACATCTGTATTTCATTCTGGATATATGTGTAATTTGGAATGGGCCAAGTAGCATGGACTGCATTGATATTTGGAATGACAAGTAGTGCTTTCCTGGTTGTATGCAAGAACAACGGGTCATGTGGGGAATCCAGAAGTGGGATTGGAAACTGTAATCACACCCTGGCTTCATGTGGTAGTTTTCAAGTCACTTGAGAGGAGAGGACCTCAAAGTCATCCACTGCTGTGTTTGTCCTAGAGAATGAAGCCAAACTGTGAGCTTGATTGATATTCTTTCTTTGCACCCTGATCTCTCCACTTTGTTCCTCTTCCTTTCCTGTCACTAGTCTCCCTTCCCTTCCTGCATAGTATCCAGGACACAACCCTGCCCGGCCATCAACATCTTACCCCCTGGTCCTTTCTCTCTCAACATTGAATCCTTCCCTCTAATTGTAAGCATACTCAACAAAATCCATCCTAAAATGAACATGACTTGTCCAATTCTACCCCCATCATGCTCTCTTCCCATCTTGCTTTCAACAAACTCTTGCAATTTTAGAGCAATCATTTGTCTCTCTTTTCTCATCACTCATTCTTTTCTCTACCTCTGCCTAACTCTCATCCACCAAGGACCACTTATTCTCCCAAATATATAATAACTTATTCCTGATTATCTACTTGTGAATCTATTCTTTCTTTCTATCTATCTATCTATCTATCTATCTATCTATCTATCTATCTATCTACTCTCCCCATCTCTCCCACCCACATTAGATAAGATTGACCTTTAGCTCATAAAACTTTCCCCTCTTGGCTTTTATCACACTGAACACTCCAGGTCCCACTGATTTTCTAAGTGGTCCTTTTCCACTTTCTTTCCAATATTCTCTCCTTCTTCCTTGGTTTCCCGTCTTCCATTAGCCCTCAGCAGTCTCCCACATTGGTTTGTGCTGTTACCCCAGTGTGCATAGTTCCAAGTCTGTGACTCTAGCTTTCCAAGCCCAGTGTGTCTTGTTTCCAGCCACTTGCACGATGTCTCCATTAGGCATCTGGTCAACTCCTAAAGTCCAATTCTTGCTAAACTGCCATCATCTTTGTTTTAAGGAGCGGCTCCTTCTGACTCCACACTTTGTATTGATGGCACCAGCTAACTTCCAGTCACCATGGCTCAAAATCCTCAAGTTTATCTTTGACTCCTCTCCATTGTCCCCTGAGTATTGCTCATGTTTGTTAACTCCATTCCCCTATTCTGTATCCATACCACTACAACCTAAGTACAGATTTGATAACCTCTTACATAATAATGAAGACAACAATAATATATTATTAAAATAG